TATCTTTAAAATTCAGTATTTTGAAATTTTGAAAGTTGTTTGTAAACTGTCAAGAATTATGGAGTATGAGCTAAAATTTTTTGCTATGTAAAGTAAATGTTTGTGGAAAAATGTAAAAATAAATAAATGAAAGAAAAAAAATGGCTGATTATGTCACACTTCCAGTTGAGAGAAAAGTCAAAAAATATATATAGTTCTTCAGTTGAAACTTTTTTGTTGTTAATAATTATTCTAATTTTATTTATTATTTTTATGTTATTTTTAATTAGTTACAGTACATATGCACTCACCAGAGAGAGACAGAGAAAGAGAGAGAGAGGGAAAGTAAGAAATAAGCTACCAGGTCAGGGGCTTGAACCGTGATTGGCTACATGGGAGTCTAGCACCTTAACCACCATACCACCTGGTGACTCCTGAACTTAATTTTTGACCTATGAAATTAAAAGATTAGAGAAGCAACTTCACATTGCTTGCATACTCATGAAGCATGATTTTATGAAACACACATAGAAAATTATTTAAAGAAAAAAATGATATTAGTCTTTAAGGCCGTTTGAAAATTCTGTGCCATTTCAAAGTCTGCAGGAAGCTTACCTTTTCAGAAGCTCATTCGGAAGAAGCAAGTCTTGAACTGGGAGTCCAAAAATTGGTTATTAGAAACTCCAGCCTCAAGTTTCTAAATCTTCGAAATCTTTCTAATGAAAGGAAACACACACCCTTAATATGAGATCAAACTCTTTTTTTTCTTTTCTAATAGGGAAGGAACTGATTTTCATCTCATTTGAGAAAATATTTTGGGACTGCCCTGTACTCTAGTGATGTCACTGTGTTTGAATCCTGGCTGCTTGAAAAACATGTGTGTGAACGTCCCAAATCCTGACAGGATGGAGAAATGGAGGAAAGGGATTGTGGTGAGACCATTCCTCACGGGGGGCATGGTCTCCCTCTCTGTTACTCGGGTGAGTGTATACACCCTTTGGCAATTAAAAAGAAAGAGAGAAAATATATTTTGGATTTTAGTCACTTTCATCTAATAAAATCATCTAGCTAATTTTCTTTCTTTGCTATTTTCTTAAGTTCATCTTGGAGTATATAAAATTCTCTTTTAAAAGTTAGATCAAAATTTAATTATGCTTTCTTACATATTACCATCTTCAAAAAGGTAAATTTAGAGATGAGAAATGACCTGACTCTCCTTTCCTTTAAAACATAAAACAGATGTTCCTTATGGAGACATACCGTAATACAGAGTTATACAGTCATAGCTTCCCAGAAGTATGTCAAGATTACATTGTAGATTGCAAAGAAAATATCATATGAGCACAGTAATTAGATCCAATCAACGAGGCAGATAAAATTTTATGGGACAGCTAATAGCAAGTTGTATAGTGCTGATACAACTTCTGAGTTCACTTAAACCTAACTGTGCTACATAAAAAGACAAAGGAGGCAGTGAGAGCTTAGCTGGGTTTCAAACCCATAAAGCTGGCTCTCAGTGGCATGAGTCACTCAGAGATAAAGGCAGCCAGTGATTTTCTTGAATCCATTTGGTGCCAGCCTGGAAAAGATTTGAGAAATTAGCAGCGTCCTCACTTTTTTGATGGCGTGGCTAAAGAAAGGCTAATTCATGAAAAGGAGAAACCCTTTTTATTTGACATTGGATTTCCTCCTAGTTCAAACACAAATGGCATTACTAATAACAAAGCAACGTGCTGGGAAGCTAGAAGGGTCTTGTATGCCTTTGAGAATAAGCTACCATCTTGAGCATAATAACTAAAGGGTGACCTGGGTAATTTTAAATCTATAAATGGTCTCATTTAACAGACTATTCCTTCTTGCTTTATAAAAAAAAAAAAAAATCAATAAGAGTTCATTAACTTCCCAAGCAGCTGTGCTTTGTAGTGAACTTGATAGTTTCCGTTTTTACCCCGTGAATGATTTCTTGGCTTGGTTAGAATGTGTGATTCAGGTACGTGCAGATTCTTTGTGGAGCATTAGGATGATGAAGTATGCTTACGGTTAGAAAGTACATTATCTACATCTTTTCTCTTTGAAGAGGTTGACAATCTGACTATCATTTGAATTTGAGATTAGTAAAGAAACTGGGCCATGCTAAGCTAACCACAAACTCATCATCATAACATAGACAGTGTTTGTCTCCCCACAGCGACAGCACTGCCTCTTCTGAATTCAGGAAGTGGGTCGGGGCTTGTTCTAACAGCAATCCATGGTTTAGCCAGGCCCATACAGGGTCTCCTTGCCTGTAGAGACCTTCTAGAGAGCAAATTAAAAAAAAAAAAAAAAGAAAAGAAAAGAAAGAAAAGGAAAGGAAAAGAAAGGAAAGGAAAGGAAAAGAAAAGAAAAGAAGAAAAAGAAAAGAAAAAAAAGAAAAGAGGAAAGAAAAGAAAAGAAAAGAAGAAAAGAAAAGAAAAGAAAAGAAAAGAAAAGAAAAGAAAAGAAAAGAAAAGAAAAGAAAGAAAAGAAACGAAACAACCAGGAAACAGTTGTTCCATGAAGTTGTTAACCCCGGACATCAGGAAAGAGAAGGCATTAGTCATTTTCTCTGACCTGAATATATGCATTTGTCAGGTTATGCCAATAGTAGTTGCAGACATATCTTATGGCTGCCACGTCTGGGTCATTATTCAGAAAACACTTAGCAGGGGTTTATGGCAGTTTGGTCCTTCGAGGCTGCTTCACAGCTGACATATCCCTGCACTTCATTCACTGTGTACTTACGAGCAGCTCTTTGCTCTGGCTTCTGGTTGCCAACCTTTACAAGCTGGGAAGCATATGCTATTTCTCCTCCTCAATGTCCTCTGCCCAAGCAGCTGATTTGCAGGGAGTATATTATCTCAATTCTGGCCTTGGTTTTCCTACCACCGAGAGTGGCATAGTCTCCTTAACTGGCATAGTCTCTCAACAAGTTGGATTAGAAGTAAACTAATTTTACTACCTAGTTGTAGAAGTAAACTCATTGTACTGCCTAGTTTCTGCTACTGTGCTCTTATCATTCCTAGCTTAATAATAAACCTTTTTGTTGTTGCTCTTTGCATAGTTAGTAAATTACTTTCTTGAGCCGCCCCTACTAAATGTCTGTGACCTTATTGTCAAGAAGGGCTTGACAAGCAGAAGCTGCTGCCTGGGGCCTGGAATGTCCCACTTCCTGTTCTTTCTTTCCAAGCTGAAGCATTCTATCCAAACAAAAACTGAACTCCGTGGCCATGTGACCCAGAGTTAGCTTGAAACGAAACTCTCCAAAGATGAAAAACTTTACACATTAACTCCTGGTTCCACTCCATCTACTCACAGTGCTTAAGACCACAAAGAGGCCTTTTAAAAAGAACCAAAATAAACAAATGGATGGCTAAACTGTGGACTAAGAAAAACAAGCAAACAGCAGCCACATATAGTATCAGATTAATTGCTGCTGAGCCCTGACAAAATGGTAAAAAACAAGAGAATTGTACTGTTTAAGTAACTGACCCCACATTCTTGCTGGACATCACTCTAACCCGGTAGGGCTTTTTCTTTTCCTTTTTTTTTTTTTTTTTAACTTACTTAAAAAACTTTTTTTGCTATAAAAATCTTTTTGCTATATGGCATGTACATTCTCCAGAGAGAGACACAGACAGAGAGAGAGAAAGAAAGAGAGAGAGGCAGGGGGATGGCTACACCACAATTCCTTCTCCGTTCTCTTCTTGGGTTTTGGGCACGCACATACATGTGCCCAGAGTATTTCTCAAGCCACTGGGCTCAGAATGCAAACTGTGCAGTTTGCCATATGGGATCCAGTACCTTAACCACCAAGACACTGACGGGCTCAAGGTAAGATACTTTAATGTAAAGAGAATCAGTCCTTGCACTGCAGCCAAGTTTATTATTTATGACCAGAAGGGGCAGAACAATCCTTTATCTTCTCACAAAAAAACACCATTAGTATAGAATAGTTCCTCTGCTACAAAAACCTGGGACTTACCTTGGTTTTTTCCTTGTAGCCATGGCTTGTGTCTTTCTACCAATAATGTGCTAAAGCAGAATAGAGGGTTTACTAGGAGCACGATCCCAGATACTAAACTGGAGACTTGCTTTCTTTATGCTAGAACATGAGTTAACAGTGAGTCATAATGTGAATGGAGACGGGAAATCACCAGCCAGTCACTGAGGTGGCTTCCCTTAAAAGAACAGATGCAAGAAATCTCCTTTTTAAAAGCAGAACTGCCATCTAGGAGAGCGAAGTAGCTGGAATGACGGAAGGAGTTGGAAAGATGCTAACTCTGGGTCCCTGATATAGTGCCTAGCAGGTGACTGGGATGAGAGGTGAGAAGGCTAAACAGCAGAACTTTAAATCTTTTGGGTTCTGGCCAAGGCATGAAAAGTAAGGACTGAGTGACCTTGGTGGAAGAATTGCTTTTCATTTAGGGCTCCCCATGGTTGGCTTCTGCTCTAGCTCCGGCGGAAGCCATTAGAACAGTGCCTTGCTTCTGCTGTAGTCTGGGCCAGTCTTTAGGCATGGGCAGCACTTTCCTTGTCTCAAGCCACATCTCCCTGGTGAGATCCTGAGAACTCGGCATTTATCTCCTGACTGCTGAGGCAGTGCTCTGCAAGACAAGTACAATGCACCCTAAATTTCTTCTGCTTAACATTACCCACGAAGTGGTCAAGACTTGAAAGAGCTGTAACTCATAAGGCCAGGTCTGCTCTTCTGAAGGACTCCACTGAGATATCTCCACATATTACGGGGTTCTAGGAGCCATCTCCTATTCTCTAACCTGAATTTTTTGCTTCCACAGAGTAAGATGCTGCACTGGCCCTGTGGTTGCTACAAAAGCTATAGGTTTTGCTCTCAACACAGGTCATTTACGCACAGTTCTGCAAGGTCAGATTCATAAAGCTGCTAGCATCACTCTCCATTTTCAGGGCTTTGCCAGACACCAAGACAAACAGGTTTTTTTTCTCCTGACTCCAATATTTCTTTGAATGCCAAAGTACCTATGGGTGTATAACCAAGAAGGAATAGGATACTTGGATGAGAGAAAGAAAGGACTTCTCCTACAGGTAGTGGTCCTGAGCCACTGCACACTGAGACATACTAGTTAAACATGGGTATGATTAGCTAATTAGTTCAGGGGTCCTTGGGAATGGAACTTTTGGTTTTAAAACTATGAAAATCCTGGACCAACCAAGATGAATGTGTTGTCTTGTTGCATACCAAACTGCATAGGAGAAACATCATTTTATACACAATAAACTTTAATTTGGCATCTGTGAATTTGGAACTTAACTCAGAGACTCAAAGACACATGCTTGATACATTACAGTGATAAACATGCAGGTAGTACACAATTAATTTAAAACGAAGAAAAGTTGTTCCAAGCAGTGCAGACCTAGTGTACGTGTTGATACAGATCTGTCAAATTCACATTGTATGTTGTATTTTAAATTGAAGTTCAAGGCCATCAGCTTTAGAATGCTATTAGAATAATTACAATGATTATAACTAGGATTTATATAGTACTATGTAACTTGTAAGATATTTTACATTTATTTTTGCACTCAATCTTTACAATTCCAGTCCTGAGATTGTTTCACTCATCTCTCTCTCTCTCTGCGTGTGTGTGTGTATATATATCTATATCTATATATCTATATATACATATATATACTAAAAGTATATACATCTATACATATTTACTTTTAGTATATGTGTTGTGTGTGTGTGTGTGTATGTGTATATATATTTAAAGAGAGAGTTTTTGTAATAAGGTGTGTGCACTCACCAGAGAGACAGACAGAGAAACAGAAAGTAAGAAATAACCACCTAGGCAGGATGGCCACACCATAATCCCTTCTCCATTCTTTTCTTGGGATTTTGGGCATGCACACACATGAGCCTGATATGAGTTTCAAGCTTATGGGTCTGGGACTTGAACCATGGTCAGCCATGTGGGAGTACAGTGACATAACCATTACACCATCTCTTGATCCCCGTTTATGTTTTGCAAATGTGGAAATTGAGGCTTAGAGAAGTTCAATGACTGTCAAAAGGATACACAGTTCATAAGAGACAGCCAAGGGTCTGCTAGATTCCATAGCTTGTGCTTTTAATCCTTAAACAATATACTAGGCAAAGGGAATGGCATACATAAAGACCCTGCGTTGGTCAGAGAGTGCTTGGTACACTCAAGGAATAAACAGTTTAGTAAAACATGGTAAGAGAGGAGGCTAGAGAGTTTTGTGGGGTCCAGAAAGCAGATGCCACAAAGGCTTGTTAAAAAGTTTAGTCTCTAGGGCTTGCCCCATGGCTTAGTGGTTAAGGGAGCCGTTACCACATGATCAATTGTGTGGTTCAAATTCCAGCCTTAGTGACTTGTAAAACACCAGGCATAAGTGTGTGCATGCCCCAAATCCAAATAGGACATAAACGGAGGAGAAGGGATTGTGATAAGACCACACCTTATTGGAGGATGCTCTCTCTCTCTCTTTCTCTGTCTACTCTGGTGAGTACAAGCACCCTACTGGAAAAAATATATTGTTTTTGTTTTCTAAAACAAGAGAATAGGGTAATATTATTCACTTGTTTTTAAAGGATAAAACTTTCTTTTAAGAAAGTTTAAACCATTACATTTTTATCTATTTGGGGAGGTCAGTTAGAAAGCTATGAAGCTATTGAGATTGCTTAAGCAAACAAAGGTGAAGGCATAGACTAAGTTTATGAAGGTACAGAGAAGCAAATGAAGCTGGGACATAAATAGGAGGTAAATTGAGTGGACTCGATTGGATGGCAGAGAAGGAGATGCTTAGATGATCTCAGACTGAAAAGGTTCCTGGAGGACAGCAGCACAACTTTTCAAAGGCACCTCAGCCCACTGGGTAAATAATGAGTGAACTATTGTATCAGCACAGAGCACTTCTGCTGAATTAGACAGTGCCCTGAGTGGACATTTAAAAACAAAAACATGCCCCCTACTATTGCAGACCTAGTGGAGATAAGGCAGATCCATCTCTGATCAGTGAACTGAACATTGGCCCTTAGAACCAGTTAAGATTTTAAAACCAAGAAGGCCTAGTGCATTTACTGGGAATACACTGCTTTTTTAAATACTGGAATTTAAAAGTCCTTTTGTGTACCAAACACAAAATAAATGAATAAGTTTGGAGCAAAGAAAAAACAAAACAAAACTGGGGGAACAAACAGTATAGAAATGTGAAAAGGGTTTTGTCATTTTCCCCCTAGAACATTTCTTGCTTTGGATAGTAGAAGAGAATCAATAAATGATTATGTTTCTGTCTGTTTGTTTCAGCAGTGAAATTTGTTCCATTCCACTGCCACTGTAGAAAGTTGAATAGTGTCCCACAGGGCCTCTCGTGAGCTTGGCACTTCAGAATATGACCTTGTAGAAAACAGAGCTCTTATAGATCTGATTAGGTAAGTATCTCAAGATTAAGTCATCCTGATTCAGGAGGGTGTCCTTATAAGAGTGGAAGATACAGGGGCCAGCAGTTGGTGTAATGACTGTATCGCTGGACTCCCATGTAGTCGACCTCAGTTCGAGTCCCGGACCTTGTAGCTTGAACTCAGGCCAGGCATGTGTGTGCGTGTGTCCAAGATCCTGAGCAGAGAATGGAGGAGAAGGGACTGTGGCATGGCCAACACCCCTGGGGAGTGATTTCTCCCTTTCTGTCTCTCTGTCTCTCTCTGTCTTTCTGGTGAGCACACACGCCCTATAGCAAAAAACTCTCAAAAAAAAAAAAAAA